CCTGGGAACATCCACAGCCCAGCACTTCACTGAACAGCCACAGCCTGGGAACATCCACAGCCCAGCACTTCACTGAACAGCCACAACCTGAGCTGCACAGACACACCCTGGATGGAGGTAACCAGAATTCTGAATACTTCTAACAATTTAGCCAAAGGTAAAACTCTGCAGGTGGTCTAAATGATCACAAGATGAGAACACCCCTTGGGAGTGATGAGACAAAACTGATGCCCTGAGGCACCAGCCAAAGCCATTCCAGTGGGGATGTGCTATTGGATTGGAAAAGGTTCTGAGGAGATCCCCTCCAGCATGCCAGCCTGGACAACAGGAGGAATTTCTTCATGGAAAGGGTTGGGCTTTAAGGTCCTTTCCCCCTCAGACCATCCCACGATTCTATGATAAAAAAAATGCTACTCTGGAATTCCTTCAACAAAACAGTATCAATATCCAGTTTTAAGGAAGACCTCCCTCAGTTTGTAACTGGAATTAAGGACATGCTGGCCTAACCCAGGAGTTTCCTTCATCCCTGTGTTCCCACAGGACAGCAGAATAAGGGGATGGCAGGCAAATATGCAGTGTTTAACAATCCCAGCCCCTCTGCCAGGAGTGATCCTGCACAAACCAACCCACAACCTGTTCCTCTCCTGAGTCACGCCAGCATTGCAGGGCCATTTTTTATCTTTTTAAGGCAAAAGGTGCTCTGTTGTCTGTTGTCACTATTTATTTCAACAGCTGCCCACAAACCTCAGATACTGCCAGAGATGAGAAATGTGAATGTTCCTAAAAAAAGGAGCTTCCCAAGACCCTGGAAGGAATGACCTTCCTGGCAGGTGTGACCCACCTTTTGCTGGTCCTCCTGAGCAGCTCCCAGGGGCACTGTCTCGTGGAAAGAGATGGGAATGATGTGGCAAAACTGTCACAGGGGAGCTCTTGGTAAAGAATAAACGACATTGTGCCTTCAGATTTCCTACTTACTCATTTCCATGAACAGCTGCCTCTTCTCTGCCATGGTCCTCCTCCTCTTCCCACTCTCCTCAATCATCCTGGAGACAAAAATGGCAAACACTGTTTGTGTCAGAATTGCTGTTACAAGAGCAACTTGCTGTGAACAACATGGTTTTATCCCTCACCAGAAACAGTCTGATCCTGTCTGGTGAGTGAGCAGACCAGCAGACAGACAGACAGACAGACAGACAGACATCCCTCCATAATTACCCTGTTCCACCACACACACACACTTCGGGCTCCCCAACACCTTCTGAGGGAGGGGGGGCACAGGAAACATTAATTCTGAACGTTTTAATTGCTCCTGCTAAGTCTGAAAAGCTCAGAGCAGCATTAATACACCCAGAAATACCACAGAAGGAATTCCTTTGTGTTCAAAGGGGGTTTGTTTGCAAAGCACAGGGCAAGCTGAGCCAAAAAGGTGATTTTTGGGGCCTCTGGGGTTCAGGAGGAGAAAGCACATCCCAGTCCTTCCCCTGGCTGCCAGAGGTCAGTGACAATCCTCTTCCCTGCAGGATCACTGAGGCTGGAAAAGGCCTCCCAGGATTTGGGGGGGTGGTGGGGGTTGGGGGGGGGGGGGGGGGGGGGGGGGGGGGCTGGGGGGGAGGCCCTTGTCTTTTCAAGAAAACTTGTAAAAATTCATTTCACTTTGAAACCCAGTGCCTGAGGTCAAACCATACCTGCCAGGGAAGTAAAGAACTTAAGTGTAATTAAGTTGGAAATAAAAACAAGTATGTTGGTGGCACAGGCCTCCCTTTCTCAGGGAAAGATTAAAGAGGTGACAGGGACAGAGAGGAACTTGTGCCCCCAGGTAAGAGGGCACAGGGACAATTCAGCCCCTCTCACAGCTCCATATAGTCCTGAAAGATGCAGAATTTCAGTCAACTCCAGTGAAAAAACGCAAGTTAATCCAGTTATCAGTGTGAAATCTAATTTATGATTCACTTAATTACTAAATCATTCTTTTGTTACCAGCTTCACCGACTTACGGTTTAATACTTAAGTTTAAACCAGGCAGTTTAAAAACCAATAAATATGGTTTTTAAGTGCCTGAAACCTAAAACAGGCAAAAATCCCTAACAGTTCCACCAAGGTCTCTGGGAGTCAGAGGGCTCAGCCTCCTGCAGCCCCGATTGCCTCAGCCTGGAATGTCCCCAGGGAAGAGAGAGCTGTGCCTTGGCACTGCCCAGGAACAGCCTCCCAGCACACCCAGCTCCAAACCCAGCACAGCCTTCCTCCTTTTTCCCTTCCCCAAAGGAACACGAGCACGGGGGGTTATTATAACAGGCACATATATTTTACTGCCTTATTTCTCCCTCCTGTAGAAAAGCACAGGCTCAGAACTGACACACTGCTGTGGTTTTGTTTTTCTAAAGGAAAGCACCTCAGTGGCATTTGTTGGAGAGATGCAAAGGTTTGGTTTTTTTTCCCTTTTCAGGTTCCTAAAATAAATCCATTTTATTAAGTTCAATGAACATATTCAAACAGAGTATCTCAGCCCAGGTTTCTCCCAAGGAACTCACCTGTCCCTCACTGCAGGCAAGAGCAGGAGTTCAGTGTCCTGGACACTGGGACTCTTTGTCCCTGAGATTCATCTTGTTCAAGTTCCAGGTACCCTCATACACTGCCCCAAGCTTCAGGAATTTTTTTGGAATATTTCTCTCTGTTTCCCCATCACATAAAATATGCAGGTCAGCTTGAAGCCCACCAGGTGCTGTCCCTGAAATCACCTTTATTCCCACTGCACCCCCCTTTAAATTCCACAGCAAGGGACTCCGAGGGGCAGAAATCCCCTTGGAGGACTGGATGAAATCACATGAAATAGTGATTTCACGTTTGAAGCTGGTTTTAGGAGAGGGTATTTTACCAACACATAAGGGACAATAACACTTGAATCTCCTGCAACACCCAGAAAAATAAAGATACCACGAGATCTCCCTCTGCCTGGGCTCTGGGTGCATGTCCCTCACCCCTCCCTTCCCCTGCAGACACCTGGGTCACACAGGCATCGAATCCCAGATTGGTTTGGCTGGGAACAGACCTTCAATCCCACCTTGTTCCACCCCTGCCATGGGCAGGGACACCTCCCACCCTCCCACTTGCTCCGAGCCCCATCCAGCCTGGCCTTGGGCACTGCCAGGGATCCAGGGGCAGCCCCAGCTTCCCGGGGTTCCCTGGCACGGAGGGGCCCCTGCAGTGCCAGCAGGGCTCGGGATGGGAGCTCCAGGGGTCACTCAGGGGGCACAGGCACCTCACAGAGCACTGCCACACAGGGGTCAGCGGGTCAGACTGACCAGGACACTCACTTCCAGAATCCCAGAGCAGCCAGTGTTCTCCACAAGGAAAATGAGTCAGTGACCTGTTCTCGTTGCCCTTGAAATGAAACCTGACTGAGGGACCTGCTTTGGCCACGATCCCAGAATCCCTGAGGCTGGAAAAGCCCTCCCAGCCCATGGATCCCCCCTGTGCCCCATCCCCACTCTGTCCCCAGCCCAGAGCACTGAGTGCCACAGCCAGGCCTTCCTGGGACACCTCCAGGGCTGGGCACTCCAAACCTCCCTGGGCAGCTGTGCCAGGGCTGGACAGCCCTCTCCAGGAAGGAATTGTTCCCAACATCCCACCTGGAACCTCCTTTTGGGCAGCCCTAGGCCGTTCCCCCTCATCCTGTCCCTTGTTCCCTGGGAGAAGAGCCCAACTCCCACTGGCAGGTATTTGGGAATGTCCTATGGAATCCATCAGGATAACTGATAAACCTGTTTTAATTCCTGAACAAGGAGACACAGGAGGATCCCTCGGGGACCAGGCTGGGAAGAAGAATGATGGGAAGCCTTTCTCAAGTTCAAAACAGGAATGAACCAAACCCACAGTAACTGCAACTATGTTTGGGATGCAAATTACAGAGCTGGGCTCCCAGCACAGGGAGGGGGAACAGCAGCTTGTCCTGCACTGGTTGGGTTGGATGTCTGGAGAGGGGGGAAGGGGTTTGGGGTTTTGGTGGGGATTTTTTGGGTGGTTTCTGTTTGTTTGCTTGCCTGGTTGTGCCTTGTTTGTTAAACATTCACACACAGGGGCTGGGATGCCAGCCCAGAATCCTGGGGATGGCTGCTCACATTCCATGGGCACCCGTGGGGAAAACCTGCTCAGACACAGAGTCGGGGAACTGCTGGATCCCAGAATGGTTGGAGTGCAAAGGCCCCCTGAAGTCCAGCCTGTCCCACCCCTGCCATGGGCAGGGACACCTCCCACCAGCCCAGGGTGCTCCAACCCCATCCAGCCTGGCCTGGGACACTGCCAGGGATCCAGGGGCAGTTCAAGGTTCAGCTCAGAGAACACAGAGCTGCCACACCCTGGAAAAGTGCAGGTGAGTGTGTCTGATGCAAACCTCCAAAATTCTGCCATTTCCCTTTGTCCATTCACCTTGGCCCCCCCTGCAGCAGGTGAACACCTTCACTGCCTCGGGAGCAACACGAGCAACCCCGACACAGCTAACAGGAACCCTAATTTATAAATTAATTTATAATAATAAACGTGGGGAATCCTACACTCAGCCACCACCTAAAGTGGAATTGCACCATAAACTTAAACACTCTCCTGACTTCTCCTGTTTGAATTTGTTTTACTTTCCTCGTTCACATCCACCCTTCTGCTCCAGGGTTCTCCCTCTCCCTCCCACCCCCAGAGCACGGGCAGGTCTCACATATCCATGTTATGGATACACAGACACCTGGCTGCAGGAAAACCCGGATAAATGCAGGGAAAGCCCTGCTGGCTGCTCTCCCTGCCCTGCTCCAGCAGTGCTCACTCTGCCCCACGTTCCTGAGGTTCCCCAGCCAGGGTGTTCCCAGGTGCTCCCAGGTTCTCCCAGGTGTTCCAGGTGTTCCCAGGTACTCCCAGTTACTCCCAGATGTTCCCAGGTGCTCCCAGGTGTGCTCCCAGATACTCCCAGGTACTCCCAGGTACTCCCAGGTGTTAGGCCAATACTACAGGACCTTTGTTAAGAGGTTTCGCTCTTCTTGGAGCTCATCAGCTGTAGGTAACGGCCCAGGGAGGCAGCTCCTCCTCCTCCTCCTCAGCCTTCCCCTCCTGCCCCCACTGCTCCTCCTCTGCCCTCCTGCTCCTCTGGAAACCTTGGCTTCCATACCTGCAGTTCCAGGTGCTTCCTCACTGCTGCTGGAGGACTCCAATTTAGTCACCAAGGCACCGAATCGGCCAAAGATTTTTATTTTTTTTTTCTCTTCTGACAGTCAATTTTGGTTTATTTTGTTTTATCTCCACCTTTGCTCCAAAGGAGACTCTGACCTTTAGGATTTGACAACCAGACAGTGGTCTGCACTGAAACTCAGCCTCACCAGCCGAAGGGAACAGAAAAAGGGGAAAAAAAAAAAGTTAATTTACAAATTGTTAAATCTGAGTCTGTTCAGATTCCTGATGTTGCATTTTCCTAGCACAAATAATATTTAACTGCAGCTGCTGCACGAGCATAAAATTGTGCTCAGACCTATTTGTGCTCAGAAATAACTTGTAATTAAAATAAATCAGAATCCCTCTTTGGGGCACAGGATGATCTGAGCTGTGCTTGACACACACAGAAGGAGGCTGAGTGACTTTCTGATTTGGAGGAACAAATATTCCCGGTGGTTCAAGGAAAAGCTTTCATCCCCCCTCAGCTCCTTCACTCTTAAAAATATAACTGGGACTAAGATCTTGAATAAAAACTCAGGGCACACCTGCACTGGCAGAAGAAGTTACTGCTTTGGGCTTCAACTCACATTTCACTTAAATAGTTTAAAATAATTTCTGAACTGTAATAAATACTCTGTTGAAGCATAAAATCAAATCTATTTATTATATAAGGGTGTTTACATTTCCTCATCTTAGATTTCAGTAAAAATATGAAGTGTTTCTACTTTCCTAATTTGAACAAAGACCCCCTCAGTGACTGCTCTCATTCCCTCATCCCCCTCTGTGGATGCTCTTACTCATCTCTTTGCCCTTCGAGCTCATGGTTCATATCCCAACCTCCCTTTTCTCAGCAGTCACACATTAATAAAGGTAACTGATCAAAAATAGTCCTGTTTTTCCCCCTAAACCTCTTCCTAGGGGGACAAACTGATCTAGAAGTGATTCCAGAGGGACACATCTAACCCCAGGGGGAGAAAAGATAAACCTTTTATATATATTCAAGTGGTCTGGCAACATCTTCTTTTAAAGGCTATTTCAACCATTTCTGATAATTCTTCCAATTTAACTTAAAATCTCAAACTCTGTTCCTGCCACTGCAGGGATAAGTAACTGAAGTAGAACCTAATTGTGCACAAAAGTAGGGAAAATACTTTAAAATGTTATTTTTGTGTGTCCAGCCAGCACAGGAGCATCTCTGGGAACCAACAGGCACCTTCCAGCAGCAGGTGCCCCAAACCCTGAAGGCCCAGATGTCTCATGGATGTTTTTACAGGTTCTGGACTCAAATGCTGGTGTGAGACCTTCACAAACCAAAACTCACTTCAGCCTGGAAGAGTGTGAGTGAAAAACTCCCAAGGGCCAGGGAGTGGATTATAACTCCTCAGTGATTAGAACTCTGCAGTGAAATTCTGTACAAGCCAAAGGTTCCTTTTTTTACCCCCAGAAATGCAGTGGATCCAAAGCTGGTTTGGAACATTCTGCAAAAACCTGCCCACATAACACAGCAAACCTCCCTAAACATGAACAGGCAATCCAGTAGTTTAGGGAAAAAAAGAATTAGCACTAAAAAAATCAAGCTGTCCCTTGTCCCTGCTTTGCCATTCCTGTCAGAACTGTGAGGTTCCCAAGGCAGGAGATGCCACCTGGTTTGTTCCTGCAGGACACAGCCCCAGCCACCCCCAGTGCCTCCAGTTACTGCTGGGGGAAAGAACTGCATGGCCAGGGACAGTCCTGCTGGGACAAACCCGGGCTAGGGAATGGGGGGATGCAGTCCCATCCAGCTGGGAATGGGGGGATGCAGTCCCATCCAGCTGGGAATGGGGGGATGCAGTCCCATCCAGCTGGGAATGGGCTCCAGTGGGTCACACAGGGACCAGAGCTGGGACCAGCCCTGTTTAAGGTTCTCATCCATGTCCAGACAAGGGGGTTGGGGGCACCTCAGTCAGGTCGTGGATGACACCAGGGTGGGTGGGGTGGGCAGGAAGGGCCTGCAGAGGGGTCTGGCCAGGCTGGATCCATGGGCACCCTCCCACAGGAGACACAGGGAGGGGCTGGAGCGTGGGCAGGGAAGGGAAGGGAGCTGGGAAGGGGCTGGAGCAGCAGGAGAAGGGTGTGGAGGAATTATGAGGGAGCTGGGGGGGCTCAGCCTGGAGAAAAGAGGGATCAGGAGGGACCTTTTCCCACCCCACAACCCCCTGACAGGAGGGGGGAGCTGGGGTGGGTCGGGATCTGCTCCCAGGGAACAAGGGACAGGAGGAGAGGGAACGGCCTCCAGCTGTGCCAGGGGAGGCTCAGGTTGGACAGGAGGAGGAATTTCCTGCTGGAAAGGGTGGTGAGGCACTGGCAGGGGCTGCCCAGGGAGGTTTGGAGTGCCCAGCCCTGGAGGTGTCCCAGGAAGGCCTGGCTGTGGCACTCAGGGACAAGGTGGGGATGGGGCACAGGGGGGATCCATCTCAGAGCTCTTTTCCAACCTCAGTCATTCTGTGATTCCATGAAAACATCCTGGCCTAAGCCCCAGTGTGAGCCCAGCAACCTCAGTGCCCACGTGGTGAGAAATGGATAAAGATCTCCCTGGATGCAAGTCAAACAAAGATGGAACAGGTGACAACATCAACCGTGGGTTTCTCTGAAAACCTTCCAAAGCTTTCAACATGACTTTTAAAAAGAAGCCCCAGGTTCCCTCAGGACAAAACAGAACAAATTCACACCCAGGAGAGTTCCAAACCATCTGCATTTCTGTCACTTCAGGTCTGCAAGTGTCAGTTCAGTGCCCAGGACAGAGAGGAACCCTGAAGAACTCAGGGGTCAGCCGGTGAGCAGGGTGACAGTGGCACTGCAGGCTCCTGCCCCAGGTGTTATTTTAGGTACCCAGCCCTACACACTCCTCTCCAGTCCCCAGGAATCACTCAGCCTGGGGCCCAGCAGATCTGCAGGCTCTGCAGGACAACAGCCTGTGTTTAACAAGCACAGCTCTGCACAGTCAGATCTGTTCCCCAGCAAACCACAGAGAGGGGGCAGAGAATTCAGGACACTCAGTGCCCACGACACTGAAATGCTTCACTTGAGTAACCAGACACTCTGATTTCACTGAGCTGCCCCAGAGCCTGAGCAGCAGGAATGGGTTTTTACAATGTCTGCTGGAGGCTGAAGGTAAAGTCTGTGGGTGGGATTTACCACGAGCCTGCAAACAAGGGCAAATCCAGCAGCCCAAACTGTTTCCTTAAAACAAAGCAGTGCCACTGTTAGAAAAGGTAATGAAACATTCCACCAGGATTTTCAAGCAGTAGGAAGCTGGAAATACCCCAATTAAGAGCTGTGCTTCCCAAAATGGATCTGGCAAACCCTTCCCAGCCACTGCACCCTGCAGGGGCCCAGCACTGCTCCCAGAGCACAGGAGAGAACTCTGGAGCCAAATGGAATATTCATTATCAGGAGATGTCCTGAGCTCCATTTCTGCCAGAGTGGGAGATGCAGCGGGTGACACACAGCTGGGAGCACTGACAGGACCAACCCAACCCTCAGCAAAGTTCACCCAGAGCTCCCCTGGCACAGCTGCAGGGATGGGAAACCCCAGCAACCCCAGTAATCCCAGTCCAGGGGCAGTGAGAAACACCTGGAAACATGAACCCCTTTCCTGATCACAGCTGAGTCAGGGATAAAGGAGCTTGCTCGGCTTTAATTCTTTAATTTCATCTCCTACATTAACTTAAAAGGAAAAAACAAAGTAAGCCAGAAATAAAACTTTAACTGGTGACAGGCCATTGCTTCTGTAAAACCAAGCACTGAAAACTGAAACTCCCTTAAGCTTTGGCACTTTCTGTTTTAAAAAATAAGTTAAATTAAGGCCTCAGCTCCCTCCCTGTTTGCCTTATGCCAGAACAGCCCCTTCACTCCCCCATCTCTTAAATCACAGAAAAGATCTCCAACATCAGCAAGTCCATCCTTTGACCCAAATGAAGTTAAAATCTGCACTGATGAAGGCTGAAAAATACCTCACCCTTCTGGTCAATCAGTAACTGCTTTGAATTATTATAATTTTAAGTGGTTTTGAACCACAGAACGTCCTTTAGACACCCAATCCTTTTAAAATTCAGTAATGAATTGGCACCTGCCATCATAATTCCCTTTGTTTCCAAAGAGATGCACCTGGCCAGATAAAACTCCACAACAGATATCACATCATAAGGTCTCCTGCCTTTTCTCCCAGATCTAGGCTGCCTAAAAGTCTTCACTGGCACAAGTGTTTTAATAAACACTAAACCAGAGACAACAAAATCATGATTTCTTCTCCCACAGCCAACAAGTTCTAAATGACCCACAGCCTGTGAAAGAAGCAGCCTGCTCCAAAAAACCAGGGAGCCTGGGACAACCCTGGGGAGCCTGGGACAACCCTGGGGAGCCTGGGACAACCCTGGGACAACCCTGGGACAACCCTGGGACAACCCTGGGACAACCCTGGGGAGCCTAGGACAATCCTGGGACAACCCTGGGGAGCCTGGGACAATCCTGGGACAACCCTGGGACAATCCTGGGGAGCCTGGGACAACCCTGGGACAACCCTGGGGAGCCTGGGACAACCCTGGGGAGCCTGGGACAACCCTGGGACAACCCTGGGACAACCCTAGGACTATCCTGGGGAGTCTGGGACTATCCTGGGACAACCCTGGGACAATCCTGGGACAATCCTGGGACAACCCTGGCATGGCTTCTGCATTCAGCAGCACGGAGCCAGCAGGGAACAATGAGAGGGAGCCCCACGGCACCTACAGGAGCTCCTGGATGTGCCCCCTTACCAGTGGGACCCTGGAAAAAGCAGGAACAAACCCTGGCAGCCCAAGCATGGACTGGGGAGCTGCTGCCCTGGGACTGACCCCAGCAGCAGGTTTGGGATGGATTAAAGCAGAGCACAAGACAAGAATCCTGTGTGTGATAACGGGAACAAGGAGGAACCCAAAGAGGATTTAACAGGACAACATGGCCAAGGAAGAGGCCTCAGCCAGACACCTCTGGAGCAGCATCCTGGGCAGCACAGCGAGGGTTTAGGGGTCAGAGGAAAACTGGAACTGAAACTTTTTGAACAACTGGTCCAGGCACATGGAATGGTTTGTCACTGAGCAGCCACACCAGACAGAGCACAGAGTGATCAAAGGTTTGGGTGGGATGGGAACCTAAAGCCCATCCAGTGCCACCTTCCACCTTCCAGGGACACCTCCCACCAGCCCAGGCTGCTCCAAGCCCCGTCCAGCCTGGCCTGGGACACTTCCAGGGATCCAGGGGCAGCCACAGCTTCTCTGGGCAACCTGGGCCAGCATCAGCCTTAATAAACTCCCTGCAGTTCCCTCACTTCTTGGGGTCCCTGAACACTTCAGGAGCACTGAACTGCAGGTTTAGGAAGAAGAAAGAAACAGGAAAAAGAAGAAGAAAGAAACAGGAAAAAG